CCAGATGAGGGGTGGATACAATAGATCCGAAAGCATTCAAGCAAGGTCGTCCGAGCAAAGCATTATATGAGGTGTTTGCCTCTACCAGTAAGAACCTGACTCTAAGTTCGGGCGCCTCTCTGCTTGTGCCAAGTCGAGTCCGTAGATCTAAGTAGCCCCGAGTGTCGACTCTTTCCCCTGCAAAGCCGAAGATCTGCTCATTAAAAGGGGCTATTAGGTCTTCGGACAAATCCATCTTCCTGAAGGTCGTCCAGTACAAGATGTTGACTGAACTGCCTTGATCAATGAGGACATTGCTGACGTCATACCGGGCTATCTCGGTCGTGAAGACCATGGGATCGTCATGATCAGGATCGGGAGCGTGGAAGTCCTCGGCAGTAAATGTGATGTCGGGTATGGATCGAGTACGTCGATCTACCATGTGCACCGACTTCAAGTGTCTCAAATGTCGTTTTCGGGCGGATGTCGACAATCCTCCCCCTGCAAAGCCGCCGGATATGGTATCGATTCGCCCCCGTATTGATCTCTCCCTTTCTGAGTGTCGAGGTCGGCTGTGGGACCGGTATCTTCGTCGGCCGTCCCTGGGAGGCGATCGTTCTAGACCGTCCGGGGAAGATTCTTTCCTGTTGGGGTTTGTTGTGTTGTGGGACGCCCGCTCTTTTACGTAATTTTGGAGGTAGCCCACGCGGATGAGTCTTTCCAACTCATCTTTTACCATGTTGCATTCTTTCGTATCATGCCCATGGTTCATATGAAACCGGCAGACTTTGCTACCGTTCGCGTTCTTTGGAGTAGCCTTTTGCCACACGGTCAGGAGTTCGGCCTGCAAGGCTTCTTCAAGCACCTTCGCCCTGGGTGCGTTGAGGGTGGTATAACGCTCGTACTTGGGTGTCCATCCCGACTCTTTCCGAAGGGATCGATCAGTTTTATGGTCGTTAGACGACCGTTTTACGTCCTTCCTATTATTATTGGTCGGACTTTCCTGTTGTTTTTTCCGAGAGCTTCTGAGATCTTCAATGCGAATAAATTTCGCGATTGTTGCTTGGAGCTCCTCCATAGAATTAGGAGGATCTGCGTATAGTTGTTCAGCGAAATACCCTGGACGTAAGCAGGAAGGTAGATTACTGATTATGAACTTGTGGTTTACGTTCTTCACTCGTCGGGCCGTCTCGTTGTACCTGTGCATGAAGGCCTTCAGGGTTTCATCTTTCCCCTGCTTGGTGTTGACAAGCTCAGCAGGGGTTAGTTCTGGCCACCGGTTTGTGGCGTATTGTTTACGAAATAGAGCTTCGACGGTGGCAAAACAATCAACTAAATTTGGAGGGAGAGTGTGATACCACTCCAGTGCCTCATCTTTCAGAGATAACGAAAAAGCACGGCATATGACAGGATCGTTATCGGTGTAGAATGCCATGGCGTCTATGAAGTTGCGAAGGTGGTTGTCTGGATCTGCTGATCCATCATACCGTTCTAATACTAGAGGGGGCTTTTCTGGCATATTGGCTTGCATGATGGCTTCCGTGAAGGGAAGTAAGTTAGTGAGCCGTAGGGAGGTGGGTCCCCTCCTTCCCCCTCCTACTGGTTCAGAGGGTCCTCCATGATGGCTACCTTCATTATCGCCCTGATGGTTGGAGGCCGATATTTCAGGCGGGGGACGCGGCGTTC